TTTTTTTAGATTTGTGTGTTTGAGAGAGAGAGAGCGCGCGCGCAAGCAAGCATGAGCAGGGGGGAGGGCAGAGGGAGAAGCAGGCTTCCCCCCGAGCAGGGAGCCCGATGCGGGGCTCGATCCCAGGACCCCTTGATCATGACCTGAGCCGAAGGCAGATGCTTAACCAATTGAGCCACCCAGGCGCCCAAAAACATCTTTTATCTAACACTGTGGCAAGTGACACAAAACACCTAGGGGCCCTGGGCTGCATGCAGTTGGCAGCCCCTGGACTAACTGTGCAACCCGGGCCTTGCTCTTTCTGAGGCTGTGTCCTGGTCCCTGACCTGGGCATGGTAACCCCTCCGTGGGAGTTAGCACGGCAGGACAAGACAGCTCGGGGAGCTGAGACACAGAGCCGGGGGGGAAAAGGGCAGGCAGGAGGCCTGGAGGGTCCCCGGGCTCAGGCGAGGATGGGGTTCCAAGGCTTAGGGCCAAAGTGGGGAGTTGGGCAGGGACAGGAGGGCACGGCCAGGGCAGGTAGAGCCCAGAGCACAGATGGCAAGGGGCTGCCTGCATGTGCACCGGGTGTCGTTGCATGGACATTCGGGGCACGTACCTCCCAGCAAGTGAGAGCAGCATTACCAAAGGCTCAATGTCTTTGTCACCACTTAGAATCACCGCCACTTAGGAGCACTTAACTGTGTACCAAGCGCGTTAAGAGCTTGGTCCCACATAGTCCCTCCAACAACCCTGTGAAACACGCATTACTACTACCTACCCCAGAGATGAATACACTGAGAGGCTGGGTTGCTCGCCTCTAACAGGAACATTCGTGGAGCACATCCTCTGTGCTAAGCACCTCACGCACCTTATTCCACACGGTCCTCATTGTAGCTCCTCCTCAGAGATGCCCCCACCCAGAGCTTCACCTCCTAAGGTTCATGCTTCGTGCGGCCCCTTCACCTTGAATGAGGCCCATCACTTGCTCTCGACCAACAGAATGCATCAGAAGTGACAGCGTGACTCCTGAGGCAAGGTCATAAAATAAACTTGTAGCTTCTGCTCGGATCTCTTGGAATGCTTGCTCCCAGCAAGAAGCCGCTCCTGCTGACAGCCTAGCTGAGCCCCCAGCCCCCAGAGGGTACCCATAGCCAGTGCTGGGAGGGGCCAGCTAGGATACCCTGCCCGGCCACGCCCCAGATGATGCCACCCTGGCCAACATCCCACTGAAGCGTCATGGAAGACCCTGAGCAAGGACAACCTAGCTAAGCCCGGTCAACCCACTACACCATAAGAGAAAATAACACATTTTTGTTTTAGGGTGATGTGTTCTAAATGAAGAGAACACTGACACACTCCTCGCAAGAGCCCCATAAGTAGAAACTCAGGCCATCCCCATTTTACAGATGAGGATACTGAGGCACGGGGAGGCTTGAGTGACCTGGTGCAAGTCCACGGCTGGCGAGGGTCGGGGTGGGGGTCTGCTCCCAAGCTGTCTGATTCCTCTGGCAACAACCACACCTCCACGCTGCCGGCCCACAGCGGCCCAGCCATGCACGTCAGGGTAAGGTTTGAGCCAGGCTGTCTGATTCCCAACCAAGGAAACTTCTCCTTCCTATGCAGGTGTCCCTCCCAGAAGCTGGTGCCCAACTTCAGCTGGGCATCTCTGATCCCCCAACCTCCCAAGCCCCTGAGGCCTGTTTTGCTCTGCTGGGCGGGGAGACAGAGGCCGACAATGTCTGGCCTCAAAGCTGGTCTCCTCTCTGGTGCCTGGGGTGGGGACAGGGGTGGTATAGGGGCCAGAATTTTGACAAATGGCCTCGCACATATTAAACAAGAGAAATGACACTGCACAGCCCTGGCAAGGCCCCAAAAGCAAGGGATGAAAAATGGGGCTGATCCATCTTGCAGGCTTCGGTGACAAGAAGAAATGGATCAGCCCTAACAGGGGCCGCACGTTGGGCCCCGGCCTTAAATAAGTCAAATGAAAATGAAGCCAGCCCCAAGGGAGGAGGAGAGCAGGGCAGGCGGCCCGGCTTTCAGGGAAAGAAAGGTTCCTGTGGCCGACACCAGCAGGCTGGGTTTTAGATGCTGAGTGCCAGGGTGGAGAACTAGGGGCTTCTAGAGAGGCCGATGGGAGGAGGAGGCTCAGAATCCTATTACCACTTAAGGCTATGGGACCCTGGGTGGGTGACCCAACCTTTCTGAGCCCTGGTTTTCACACATGCAACATGCGGGTTTTGCATATATTAAGTTCATATTAATAACGGTAATATTAGAAGGGCTAGAGCCTGGGGCGTCTGGGTGGCTCAGTCAGTTAAGCGCCAGACTCTTGATTTTGGCTCAGGTCATGATCTCCGGATCAAGAGATCAAGCCCCACATTGGGCTCCGCCCTCGTACTTAGTGTGAGTCAACTTGAGATCCTCTTTCTACCTCTCCCTCTGCCCTTCCCCCTGCTTGTGTGCTCTCTAAATAAATAAATAAAATCTTTTAATAAAAAGGGCTGAAGTTTAAGAGCCCTTATGTGTCAAACAGGGTGCTAAGCACATCTACAAACTGTCTTTGTATTACCCCATTCTCAGAGAGACACAGTACAGAGGTTGAGGGTGCGGGCTCCAAGGCCAGACCGCCTGGGTTCAGATCCCCGCTCAGCAGTCAGATAGCCTGGATAAGTGACTTGAGTTCCCTGTGCCTCAGTTTCCTCTCCAGGAAGTACCCACCCCATAGCATTGTTACGATGACAATATACCAGTGCTCAATACACAGCAGAGATTATTACACACGTGCTCAACACTCCAAAATGCTCATTCCTTTCCTTTGTCCCCTTCTCTAGCTCAGAGGACCAACTTCCAAGGTCAAGAGCTCAGGCAAGAACTGCTAGAAGGAGGGAAGCATTGGATAAAATGGAACCAGAGCCTTAGCTGGTTTCCCTGCGGTCTTTCCACTTCAAACGATCAGGGGTGGTATTGGAGGGTCCAGGTCGCTTTAAGGCACATGACTTTACAGGGGTGGGGCCAAGGAGAGAGTAGGAAGGGGCTTAAATCAGCAGGAGTCCCCACTGGTCTGAAAGGGGGCTCTTTCTGAGTTGGAGCCCTTTCTGCTCCACTCTGACCATCTTCCTCCAAAGTCTCTGTACCTGCTGTCCCCCTGCCCAGCACACTATTTTATTCCTTCCTCCACCAGTCTGCCTGACCACATTTTCCCCAGAGGACTCTCCCTGCCCGAAGCTGGGTCTGTGAACACCCCCATCCACATGATAGCTTGTTTGCTTGTCTCAATTGCCTGTTACAACAGTGTCTTGGCCACTGCTGTGCCCCCAGCACCTGGGAGAGTGGCTGTCCCCAAGTAAGCATTCGGTAAATGCCTGTAAAATGACTAAGTGGATAAATGGTCCCCAGCCACCAGAAGTAGACCTGCAGACCCTGGACATCTGTGGTCACTGTCTTTCCAGCATGCACTCCTTCTTCTGATGACCCCCTCCCCACTCCCAATTTTCCACTGGAGGACCTCTCCTCCTCCTCTCTTTGTCCAAGGGTTTGGGTGGGGCCAATCCCTCCTCCTTGACCTTGTAATCAAGTCAGACCAATTAGAGCAGTCCAGTCTCCTCAGGGTCTAAATCACTGGTCATGGGATGGACACATGACTTAAGCTAATCCAATGAAAGCCTTAACCAGGATTGGCTGGAAATATTGGGAAGAGGCCCCATCTCTCTGCTGGTGTTGCTACATTTGTAAAAGGTAAGCCTAGACCTGGGCTTGGTGACTATCTTTGCTTAGGGAAAAGTTGCTTGTGAATGAAGCCAACCAACACAAAGGGAACAGAGACAGGAAAGTGGGGAGGGGAGACTGCCTCAGCTACTGATGAATCACCTGATCACCTGGATCCAGCTGTGCCTGAAGCAGACATTCTGGTAGCTCACCCAGCATCCATTCCACCCACTCGCCATTTGTGAGCTTTTGGCTCACTCCTGACTCCAGAGATGAGTGTGGGCAAGCTGAGCCAATAGGCTCATGACATTCCCTCAGCTGTGGTGATGATTCAGGGGAGAGAAAATGACCTAAGTTGGGCCCATCAGAGGGAGGCTTGGGACTTTAGTCAATGTTGGGAAAAGAGAAGCCCTTTCTTCCCCTGTATGTGAAGGAAGAAGCAGCAGCCTCAGGAGCAGCTTTCTTACCACCAGGAGGGAAGCCCTCCCAGGGACAGGGTTAACATGTGCAGATGATCCTTGAGGAAGAGCAATCAGTCCTAATGATGACGTCAGAGACTCTGGATCAAACGGACCCTGAAGTCCACAACACAACTGCCCCTTTCACTTACAGGAACCAGCGTGTTTCCGTATTGCTTGGAGTGACGGGGATGGACTTTTCTGTTACAACACAAGGCACCCTGGCTGATCCTCCTGGACTTTTCTGTTACTTGAGCGAATCCACATTCTGTGTTTACTTACACATGGGAGTCTATTGCCGATCCTGCCTTTCTTTGCACCCCTAGCCTAGCAGACCTCCCAGGGCCCCGACGGCCTGCCAGCTTCTTTCTCCCCCTTCCAGAGTGGCCTGTGTGGCAGGGTCGGCAAACTTTCTCTCTAAAGGGCCGGGCAGTAAATATTTTAGGCTTTGTGGGCCACTGAGTGTCGGTCACAACCACAACTCTGCTGTTGTAGCAGGAAAGTAGCCACAGACAACACGTAAACCTAAGTGTGGCTCTGTCCCAATAAAACTTGATCTACGGACACTGAAATTTGAATTCCGCATAATTTTCACACATTGCAAGATGTTATTCTTCTTTTGGTTTATTTTCCAGCATTTCAACGTGTAAAAACCATCCTTAGGTTGAGGGCTGCGTAAAAACAGGCGGTGGGCCACATTTGGCCCACGGGCCATAGTTGGCCAACCCCAGCATTAGGGTCTCAAAGTGCCTTTGGACTCTGGGCTAGCTACCTTTGCCTTCTTCTGCCCTTCTCCCCCGAGCTGGGCCAAGCTGCTAAAGTCCCAGCACGCTGGAGGTCAAAGCCACTTACCAGAAGGACCACCCGTAGTCCCAGGAGTGGGGTCTCCAGTCTTCAGGGCCGAGGCTCACAGTGACCTGGAATACTTGCGTGTACATCATGTGGGCTACCATTCCCAGGAGGCCTGTGGGGGGAGCAGAACAAGGGGTCAGGAAGCCAGGTGGGGCTCTGTCCCCCTTTGTCCCGTGGGCCTGTTAGTGTTGGGAGACAGCGTGGAAGGAGAAGGGCCATCGGCAGGACCAGAGCCGGGAAGCCAGAGGAGGGCACTTTTCTCAGCCAGCCAAGGAGCTTGAGTTTGAGCGAGAGGGCAAAAGGCAGGCCTGGAGAAATTAAACAAGGGAGACACAGAGTCAGATCTGGGCACAGATGGACACGCTTTTTCTGTTAAGTACCAGATACGTAGATACTTTATGCTCTGTGGTCCATGCAGCATCTGTTGCAACTACTTCTCCACTGCTGGAGAGCCATAGACAATACATAAATGGATGAGTATGGCTGTGTACCAATAAAACTTTATTTACAAAAACAAGCACCGGGTCAGATTTAGCCCATGGGCTATAGTTTGCTGATGCCTGTGTTAGAAGGTCATTTGGGAGAAGCAGCCTAGAGGGTATTTTTCAAACTGTAGATCTGGATTCACTAGACTAGCGGGTCATGAAATCACCTTCACTGATTGCCAGCAGTAAAATAAAAAAAAAAAAGGCAACAAGAATGGAATGGAATAGGCATATCTGATACCATCAAGTATAACAAGAGTGAATATTGTTTTATGAAACTTTTCAGTTCTATGCATATGTCTGTGTGTGTGGTGACTGAAACATGAAATGATTTTCTGTGGCTCATGGTCAAAAATCTTTGAGCCCACTGGCTGGGAAGACTGGGATTCCCAGGAATCTGAGTGGGAATCCTCTTTCACCAGGTTTTCGCCATGTGGCGCTGGGCAAAGCTTCACTCTCTGAGCTTCATTCAAATCTCTGAACCCTAAGATGAGGACTGTGACTGGTAAGGTGAAGGGTAGGTAAAGGAGGCGAGGCAGCTTCAGTGTTGGTGCCTAGGGGGCATGTAGCAGGATTATTACAACCCTGGGGGCCTTTCGCTGTGTGGACCATGGCATCTGGAGCCCTCATGAACCTAACCCTAAGATAGAGTGATACAATATTGAGGAGGGAAGGGGTAGATAACAAGAAAGGAAAGCAATCATGCTTGTGCACCTGCTGTGGGCTGAGCACCCTGTGTTATTACCTCTTACTTTTCATAACAACCCTCTAAAGTATCATGAGGTACCACGATCAGGACTATGTACCGTTGTTCAGGTTGCCCACTGCACATCTCCATAGGGTCCATTCACAGTGCAGTCTACATGCATGGTCCCACCCTGGAGTTGAAGCAGAACCATGCCTGCAAGGCTGTATATGGCAGCCCTGCGTATGATTGTTCCCATTTCACAGGTGAGAAAACAGGAGCCTGGAGTGGTAAAGTCTGTCCATGGTCACGAAGGGAGTCACTGGTGTCATTGTGACTGGTGCCCAGATCCAAATGCCCTCAACTCCAGGGCTCTTCCCATGATGCCCAGCATGTGTCTGTCCTCCCCTGGTTGCCCGATCACCCTCTCCCCTCTTCTTGAAGAGGAGGCAAGAAGAAAGATGGAGATAAAGGTAGCAGAGGTGGAGGTTAAGCAGAGACGGAAACAGAGGGGGCAGGGCTCTGCATCCTGGAACCCAGTGTGGGGAGTGGAGGGAGGGGGCCATCCTGTGTTCCCACAGTGTGAAGATAAATGTTTAACAACTGGTTCTCCAGAGGGAAAAGAAAAGCCCTGATCTGTAGCATTTGCCAAGTTCCATGGTGCAACGACTCACGCTATGGCCAATCTCAAGCTACCAACGTGATGTCACTGAAAGCAGAGCACAGCAGAGGCGCTCACAAGCTGGTGCAAACAGGCTCCAGCACACCTCTGGGTCTCACTCCAGTCCCTGGACCCCGGGCCCAACGGAGACCACGGATGCAGAGGTGGCTGTCTGCGTCTCTGAGCCCGGGTCAGCCCCCCATGGACACTTGTCACTATTCTCCCACCGCAGATGCGGGCTGGCAGGGAGCTCTCAAGTCAGGAAATCCAGGGAGAAATCCAGGCACCATGACAGGTGCCGAGGCCCCCGCAGGAGCCTTGTAAAGGTCTAGCCTCCTCCAGGCTGTCCCTGCCAGGCCCGAGTACATCCTAGACTGCATCTTTAGTTGTGCCCTGGCAGGTGGCGCAGAACTGTCCTGGGCTGTCACACCCAACAACAGCATGCTCTCTGGTCCTCTCTGCCCTGGCTCAGTCTATTAGAAGGAGGAGGAGAATGGTGAGCCATATGGAGATCTTATTTTTCTTTACTTGACAAAATTCTGGGTGAACTTGCCAAGAGGTACATAACAGATATACCTTATTCTTTGGAACTGATGCATACGATTCCTTAATAACGAAGTACCATGTTTTATTTATCCAATCAATTGACAGTTATATTAAGTTATTTCCATCTTTTTGCTCTACAAGCAATAATACTGAACATCTTTCCGCAAGTCTTTTTGTGCTTACAAGCAACTATTTCTCCAGAGGGAATAGTAAGAATTGCTGGGCCATAAAGCGTACGTATTTTAAATTTGAGTCAATGTTGGGGAATCGCTCTCCTGCGTGGTAGCTCCGTCTTGTGCTTCTGCCAGCTGTCTGGGAGTCCTTACCCAAATCTTCACCAACACTGGAGATTCTAAAACGTTAAATACTGTCATTCTTTTATGACGCAGAATGACACTTCAACATTGTTTTAAGTTTTGGGTTTCCCTCATTACTAGTGAGCTTGGGCGTTTTTCACGTGTTCATTGACCATTCCTACCACTGTCTGTATCCTTTGCCAATTTCTTCTTTTTTTAAAAAAGAAAAAAAATATTTTCCCTTATCAATTGGTAGGAATTCTTTATGTATTCTGGATACTAATCCTGTCTGTGGTGTAGACTACCAAGAGTTTAGTGCTTGCCTTTTCCCATGTACTGGACATCTTTTTGTTTTTTAATTAATAGACTTTGGTCTTTAGAGCAGTTTTAGGTTTACAGAAAAAGCGAGGGGAACTTACAGAGAGGTCCCCTGTGCCCCCCAGTCGCCACCCCCCACAGTTTCCCATATGATTTACATCTGCCATCAGTGTAGGACGTTTATTACAATTGACAGCCCAATACTGATCCAGGATTATTAACTAAATTAAACTATTAACTTAGTTTACATTAGGGTTTTCTTTGTGTTGTGCATTCTATGGATTTTGATCAATCTTTGGTGACATGTATCCACCATTACTGTGTCGACTAGTTTCACAGCCTTAAAAATCCCATGTTCCACCTACTCATCCCTCCCTCCCTTCCCGCCTTACTGAACTCCTGGCAACCACTGATCTTTTTACTGCCTTCATCATTTTGCCTTTTCCAGAATGTCATATAGGTGGAATCATATGGTGTGTAGCCTTCTCAGATCAGCTTCTCTCACTTACTAATATACATGCAAGGTCCCCCCCACGTCTCTTCATGTCTTTTTAGCACCGAATGATGTTCCACTGTCTGGACACATCACACATCACTCACCTGTGGGCCATCTACCTGCTGAAGGACATCTGGGTTCCCTCCAAGTTCTGGCAATTATGGATAAAGCTGCTTTTCTCATACATTTTGGTATTTGATATCGTCAAATTTACCAGGCTTTTCCTTTTCGGTTTTCACTTCCTGTGTCTACTTTTAGAAAAGCAGCACCGTCGGGGGACCTGGGGGACTCAATCGGTTAAACATCTGCCTTTGGCTCAAGTCATGATCTTCAGGGGCTGGGATCAAGCTCCACATCTTCAGGCTCCTGGCTCAGTGGGGAGTCTGCTTCTCCCTCTCCCTCTGCCCCTCCCCCTGCTCTTTCTCTCAAATAAATAAAAATCTTAAAAAAAAAAAAAAAGCTTAGAAAAGCAGCACCATAAACACACGGTCTTATATTTTTATATTAATTCACCCAGAATTTATCTTGGTGAATGGTGTTAACTGTTTTTAATGAGTAGCTAATTGTTTTGAATCCTTATAGAATGACCTGTTCTTTCTTCACTGACTTTATTTTTTTTAAGATTTTATGTATTTATTTATGTATTTATTTATTTATTTATTTGAAAGAGACAGTGAGAGAGAGAGCACGAGCAGGGGGAGGGGGAGAAAGAGACTCCCCTGCCGAGCAGGGAGCCCGATGCAGGACTTGATCCCAGGACTCTGGGATCATGACCTGAGCCAAAGGCAGTCGCTTAACTGACTGAGCCACCCAGGCGTCCCTCTCCACTGACTTTAAAAGACACTTATATTCCAACCCCCACATGTATACGAGTCTGTGTCCTAATGTCCCTCTGTTCCTGTGTCAATGCCACAATTTTAGTCCTTCTAACTCACAGGAGAGTCTGTCAGCTGGGAGGACAAGCCTCCCCTCCTCACTGCCCAGTGCTCATTGCTCCTGGAACTGATGCCCTACCCAGAAGCTTTGTGCCTTTAGTGGGGTCCCGACCCCTTCCCGAGCCCCCTCCCCAGTCCCTTTCTGGGGGAGGGGAGCTTGCTCTCCAAACACTCCACTGTTCTAACTTGTTCAGTTCCTTTTGCACCATGCCAGTCCAGATGCTCTCCGAGTTCTGTGACCTCTGGGTGCCTTGGTTTTCTCATCTATAAAATGGGGATATTAGTAGACATAGGTAATTCTAATGAGCATCTACTAAAGAAGGAGTACTTTCATGAAAACAACTACTCCTTGTTTTAGGGCAGTGGGAACATAATGAAGACTCCTCACTAGACCCAGAAGCCAGACCCAGCCTGTTGGCAGAATAATTAATTTTCTAAATTGTTAGTTTGAAAAAGCATTGATTTCTCAATCGAATTCCATTTACTCCCAAATACGAAAGGCTGTCCTTTAAGAAAATGACAATTCACTCAAAGATAGGCTGGTGGGAGTCTCTGATTGCATTTTAAAGATTCTCCTTTAAAAACCCGACCCTTGCCCGTGTTTCTGGAAGCACGTCTGTTCTGCAAAGGAGGTCCATGGTAGCATCTGTCATACAAACCCTCCGCAGAAGGAACTGTTTCCGATTCCTC